TCCTTGCTTCCCTTCTCCTCCCCTTCGTCCCTCCTCATGTCCGGCCCCATCCTTAGGTGTCCTGTCAGAAGAACAGATCCGCCTGAAGAAACTGAAGCGGCAAGAGGAGGAACAGGCTCAGGCCACATCCATGCCCCAGAAGGCGTCCTCACCTCCCCAAGTCCTGCCCCAGCTCAGCCCGGAGCAACTGGGCATGATTGAGAAGCTGGTGGCTGCCCAGCAGCAGTGTAACAGACGCTCCTTTTCTGACCGGCTTCGAGTCACGGTACCTGAGGGACCAAGGGAGAGGTGGCCGTGCCCAGAGTGCCAGCTGGCTTCTTCGTGCCCGACTCAGAGTGGTTGTTTATTCCCTCCGTGCCCTTCGGGTAGCCTTGGCCCATGGCCCCAGACCCCCAGAGCCGGGAGGCCCGTCAGCAGCGCTTTGCCCACTTCACCGAGCTGGCCATAGTCTCTGTGCAGGAGATCGTTGACTTTGCCAAACAGCTGCCCGGCTTCCTACAGCTCAGCCGGGAGGACCAGATCGCCCTGCTGAAGACCTCTGCGATCGAGGTGGTGGGCAGGGTGGAGGGGTGGAGGGAAAACCAGAGTGGGATTGTCTGTGGGAGGGGCCAGCAGCCAGCTGGGAAGCCAGATCCTCTGGGAAGCAGGGATGAGGGGCTCGACCTCCCCTTGAAGGTGCCAAGACCGGTCCGCCGAGGCCCTGTCTGAGGTCTGGTGCTTGTTCAGGTGATGCTTCTGGAGACATCTCGGAGGTACAACCCTGAGAGTGAGAGTATCACCTTCCTCAAGGATTTCAGTTATAACCGGGAGGACTTCGCCAAAGCAGGTGAGAGCTTAGATCACAAAGGGACTGGGTTGGATGGACAGACACTTTTTGTCCCGGGGCCCATAGTGACACCGGGGCCACAGGCCCAAGGTTTTGGGTGGCTATAAAGGGAAGGCTTCACTTGTTTTTCCAAGACAGAAAGTTGGAATGCTGATAGGCCTCTCTCAACTGCCCCAAATAGATTCCTGTCCTCTGTTGTATTAGGCCAGTGGTCTCCAGCTGTGCTCCAGGGAAGCCAAGGGGAAGGGGTGTTCTGTGGAAGTGTCACCTTAGAGGAGAAACAAGGAGGGACAGGAATGTCCATCTTTACTTTAGCCAAACAAGAAGCTCCATTTAAATCTGCAATATACATCATGCTTCTGCATAATTTGCTTCAAGAAAGGATTTTACAGCTAGAAAAAAAGCTTGAAAACAATTACACTGAGGCTTTTAGGAGTCAGTAATGAGCAGATCTTTCTCAGATGTACTCTTTAAGGATCACGTGGACTAATTTCCCCCTACTTTTCTTTTTCAACTGCTCTTTCTGATGAGCCATGGAACTGGGGCTGAAAGATGGCAAACGTGCCCAGATGGGGTAGCTTTAGGAAAAGAGTAAATGCTTTTATCCCCATCCTGTACCTGGAGTATTTTCTCCAAGAATTCGTTCCCGTTGCTGCTGTCTATCTGATGCTTGCTTGAAGGCTAAGTAAGCAGTGTTGGTATTCCTCCTCTTCAGTTGCTGGTAATGTTTGTGTTATGGGAGCAGGATTGCGAAGGGATGGAAGGCTGAGAGTGTTTGGGAGGGACTGGAACTGAGGCTCAACAGGAGACCAAGCAATCTATCGATAACAGCTGAGTGAGTGGATCTATAGAATATGGCCGATACTGTGACTCCATTCTTGGGGTTGGCAGGTCCTGATCTCCAGGGCAGAGCTCATCAAGTCTTCTCTGGTGTCTGGTGACTCAGGCCAGCTCATGTGCCTCTTGTTGTCCCAACACAGCCTACCCAGTGAGCTTTCTGGGAAGGCCTCCCTTGACTATAGGGCATGGGGGGGTTGGGGGGCGCTGTGTTGGCACCTCTTGCCTTCTGTGTGCTGCCTAAATATATGGGCACCTAATAGGGGCAATTTAATGACTTTTTCCAGCTTTAAAGGCCCATGCCTGCCCCTTTTCTCTACCGAACCACCTTTCCACAGGTGGCTCTTATCCCAGTCCTTCTTAACCATGGCCGCCTCCTTCATGACATCCTGCTCTCTCAGCCCTTCTCAATTGTCATGCCTGTGTGTTCTTTCAGCACTAGCAGACTTGTGCTATCTGAATCTGTACCTATTTATAGATTAATTTATATAAGCAGTTTTGATGTCATGTTTGCCTTCTTTTTTAAATTGGGGAACTGTGTGTTTTTCCAGGACCCATCAGCTCTAAGTCAAGTACTGTAGTTGTCTTCAATTTGGTTGTGGAGGGCGCAGCTCAGTGGCCCATGTGGGGATCGAACCAGCAACCTTGGTGTTATAAACACTGCGCTCTAACCACCTGAGCTAACCGGCCACCCCTCATGTTTGCCTTTCATTGTCATTTTGTCAGTGAGGTCTTGGGGAGATGGAACAGGGGCCCTCTTTTGCCGAGTCTCCTTCCCCCTCTACATGATTAGTGATGTGGACTGATGGCATTGGAGGTGTTCATTCAGCGAGCCACAGCAGCCCCTTGCAGGATTCATAACCCAGCTCTAGAACCTCCTTGTTGTCTCTGTACAAACAGGCTGTTCAGCACAATTCAAGGCTCAATACCTCACCAACAAATACTGTATAAAATGGGGCTTGTCCATTAAATGGATTGACACACACTTGATAAACACCAGGGTGAAAGTACAGGAAGTGACTAATCAAGAAGCCTCGAATGGAAAAGTTAGCAGATGGTTGCTAAAAGAAACCTGAGAAAGCCTCTGTGAGGGTGTGGGGTGGGGAGATTTGGATAGTGTGTATGGGAGAAGCGTTCTTTAGATGTCATGACTTTAGGTCGACATTTGTTGAACTTCAGTCTCGTCAGCAAGAAGACTGGTTCTATTTCTAAAATTTTATTATTTATTTAGCAAACACTTATATAGTACTTACCATGTGTGTCACACATTATTCTAAGGACCCATTACGAGGGAGGTGCTATTATCTCCATTTTACAGATGGGCAAACCAATGCCCAGAGAGGTTAAATAACCTACCCAAAGTCACACAGCCTGGTAAATCGTAGAGCCAGGACTCAAACTCAGGCAGTCTGGCACCAGAGTCCACACCCCCGACCACATTGCTAAGTTCCCCCAGGATGTGAAACAAGAAATGTTAAGTCTAGTATTCAAATAAGTAAGGCCAATTGCCAGTGAAAAAGTCTTCTTTATAAACAAAAGTGAGTTGCCTCTATTTCTAGTAATGTGGGGCCTTCAATGAATAACAGAATTGTTATTATCATTTAATTCAGCACCTCCCATGTGCCTGGCACAGTGCTAAGTGCTCTGCATACTTTATATTTAACCATCACCACAGTTTTATACGTTCAGCTATGATTCCCATCTCACAGCCAAAGTTTGGAGGGGTCAAGGAAGTTGCCCAAGGTTACAGAGCTGAGCCCTGGAGACTTCTTATTGCTTCCCTAGTAGTTCTCTAAGTTGCGGGTTTGGAGGAGAGAAGGAAGTTCCTGCTGCTTGTGCCACATGCCCAGCCTCCCTTTTTCCCCCCCAGGGCTGCAAGTGGAGTTCATCAACCCCATCTTCGAGTTCTCCAGAGCCATGAATGAGCTGCAACTCAACGATGCTGAGTTTGCTTTGCTCATTGCCATCAGCATCTTTTCTGCAGGTGGGGAGGAGACGCAAGAGGGAAAATGAGCCAGAGACTTGAACCAAGGGCTGAAGGCCCCACAGAGCAGGCAGCAGGCATCTCAGGGGTGGAGGCCCCTGCTGTGTTATTTTGGGATGGGAGAGGTTGGGTGGGGCATGTGCCTATTTTTTTGGTTGTGATTTGGGATATGGAACTGACCCTGGCCAGACCTGCTCCTCAACTCCATTTGTGACCTATAGACCGACCCAACGTGCAGGACCAGCTCCAGGTGGAGAGGCTGCAGCACACATATGTGGAGGCCCTGCATGCTTACGTCTCCATCCACCACCCCCATGTGAGTCGCCCCTCAATGCCCTTTTTCCCCCTCTCCACAGGCTCATTCCCTAACACACCTACTTTCCCTTCAGGGATCCGTCTCTGATTATGTCATGCCGCCAATTCTCTGCCTCTCCCACAACTCCCCTGCCCTTGCCCCCTTCCCTGGGGAGAGACAACGGCTGTACTAGTCCCTCTCTTTCCCCCAGGACCGGCTGATGTTCCCACGGATGCTAATGAAGCTGG